TGATGAACATCTGACATCGTCTGGCCTTGCTGAAATTTCTGATAATTATTTACAGATGCATACTTTAGCTTCCATTGTGTTTTATATATTTTGGACATGTCTAATTAAGAACGAGAAAATGACTGGGCTTTCAAAAAAGTTTTCATGCTCTTTGTGGCATCTCTACAGAACTTTTGATTGCAGAAGCGTTTATCTCGAATGAGCTGTGGGCGTTTATCGCTCACTGCATTATCGCTTGTCTTTTTTACATGTGCCTGTATGCTCTTTTCTAGAGTCCAGCACTGTATTGCAGTGATATTTGTCATCGTTCTCCACTTCTCGATGTTGTTCCTATCAGAATGTTGTTTTTGGTGTCAGCTGTCCGTCGAATGTCATACTGCATACCGCAATGATTTTCAAACGTTGAGTACAGCACGGCATCAATAACTGGCAGCTGATTGATCATAGCGACACCTGGTTTGTGTTTGTGGCTTGAGGTGCAAATGTAGGGAATTTTTGACACTTATGTGCCATGTATCTACTTTTGGAAGGTGCTGTATCATGTTTCAAGAATTCTCTCTTTGTTTGTGCATGCGTGACGTACATGCGGATGTTATTTAGGGATTAAGGGCTCAATACTGGGGACTAATAACTCGCTTCCAAGGTCTTGAATTACGAGAGCGATCGCGTGGCGCATTTAAGTGACAAGACAAGCTAAGTGGAGTCTTGGCATGAAATTATTGCGAGGGTGGAGACGGCGTGTGGGTGGTGAAATAGGGCGCAGAGATATCAGGGAACCAACTTCAGTCCTAGTGTAGGCGGGGGTGGAGAAGCGCGAAAAAGGTTAGCTTGAAAACTTTGCTAATAAAAAAAGTTAGAGGAAAACGTTTGAGTAGCAAGTGAAGATAACTTTTATTTGAGTAGCAAGTGAAGATAACTTTTAACTACAAACTTAAGGAGTTGCTGAAACCTGTTTCAATCTGACATCTCTATTTTTGCTTAAAGACTAGCCTAATTTCAGGTGGACGCTGCTTTGCATCGTTTGGAAGCACTGCCGTGGTGTCGATTCGGACGGGTGACCATAAACAATGCGACCGTATCATGTTGTAATCCATATCACTATGCATTGTGGATACGACCAGAGACGAGTTGTAGTGATGAGGATTCATTACGGGACAATAGTCAACGAGAAGTGCCAATGGGCAACGGACATATCGCCTATAGTAGGAGTCATGCTGGTGAGTGTGGACAGG